TCCCAAGTCACTGCCACTGTCACCGCTGCCCTTGGCCTTGGCCAGCAGCAGGTCCATCCCAGAGCCAGTGCCATTGGCTCTCTCGGACATGGGGGAGGCTCCTGGCAGCTTCTCACAAAAGCCCCCCCTGCTCCCCCCACTACCAGGACCTGCTGGCAGACCCAGTGCAGCCCCTCACCCCCTCACCCTGGGCTGTTTGTCTTTGCAGGGATGTCTGAGGGCAGCCAGGCAGGGGTCCCAGCTGAGGGGGGGCTGAGGGGTGCCCCTGACAGCACCCAGGTGAGCCACGGCTGTGGGGGTGTGTGGGGGGCACTGCCAGGGGGCTGGGTGTGACTGGGCAGGGTTCTCGTGGCTGAGCTCACAGTGCTGCTTTCATCTGCTACTAATCTGCTTTAAAAAAAAACAAAACAATCAAACCCCAAAGGTTGTGTTTTCTCTGCCTTTTACACCCCTAGCACAGTGAAGGTGAAGGAGGCTGCTGTCACTCCTCTTCCTGCCCCTTCCCCATTACCAAGCCCCCTGAGCATCTCCTGCAGGTCCTTTCAAGGGGTCAAACTCTCCAAGTTTCCATGTGCTGAAGAGTTTAGTGTGAACTGGAGGAACTGGGCAGGGCCTGAGCTCAGATGCAGTACTGGGCACTGGGGAATTCCCTTCTAATGTGCTGGGTGGCCCTGATGCTCCAGGGGATGGGGGTCCCTGCACCCCCAAGTGTGCTGAGGGGTTCTGGTGCTCCAGGGGATGGGGGTCCCTGCACTTCCAAGTCTGGCACAGCCCTGAGCAGGGGCTGAGCCAGGTCCTGGTGCTGCCCTACAGGATGTGGCTGAGCCCAGGGAGGATGTGGGGAGTGAGGGCCTGGCAGCCAGTCCAAGCCCAGGCAATGTGGAGGACGTGTATGAGCTACTGGAGAAGCTGGGCAGGTGAGCAGGAATCCAGGCAGGTCAGTGGGATCTGGGCAGGTGAGTGGGATCTGGAATCCAGGTAGGTGAGTGGGATCTGGAATCCAGGCAGGTGAGTGGGATCTGGGCAGGTGAGTGGGATCTGGAATCCAGGTAGGTCAGTGGGATCTGGGCAGGTGAGTGGGATCTGGAATCCAGGTAGGTCAGTGGGATCTGGGCAGGTGAATGGGACCCGCCACAGGTGAGCAGGTTGCAGGCAGGTGAACACAGGGCAGGCAGGGATCCAGGCAGGTTCAGTGGGGGATCCCAGAGCCCCAGGAGTGCCCGGATTTCTGGGGTTTCCCCGGGTGGGGTCAGCCCAGCCACGCCCCATCCCAACTCTTGCTGCAGTGGCCACTTTGGCGTGGTGAGGCTCTGCCGTGAGCGCAGCACCGGCACCTTCTACGCTGCCAAATTTGTGAAGACCCAGCGGTGCTGGGGCAGCCGCCTGGGGCTGGAGCGGGCACAGGTGGAGCGGGAGGTCGCCATCCTCCGCCAGCTCGACCATCCCAACATCATGCAGCTCCACGACCTCTTCACCAGCAGAGCTGAAGTGGTGCTCGTCCTGGAGCTGTGAGTGGGGTCTTGGGGTGGGGGGGAACCCCCCCTTTTGTGCCACGTGTTGGAGGTGGCCGAGCTCTGCTGTCCCCACCCCGTTCAGGATCAGTGGTGGAGAACTCTTCGACTTCATTGCGGAGAAGGAGATGCTGTCAGAGGAGGAGGCCATCGAGTTCCTGGAGCAGATCCTGAGTGGGGTGGAATATCTGCATTCTCGCCTCATCGCTCACTTCGACCTCAAGGTGCCCATGGGGACCCCCCATCCTCACTCCCTGAGGATCCAAGGACTGCCAGGCACCTCCAGAGCCCTGGTCCCATTTTTCTCAGCTTCCCAGGCTGCTGCTGTAACCCCTGTCACCCCTTCATCACCCCACTGTGCCTGGCCTTGTTCCCACAGCCTGAGAACATCATGCTGCAGCAGAAGGATGTCCCCAAGCCCTGGATCAAGATCATCGACTTTGGGCTGGCCCAGCAGCTGGAGGATGGCATCACCTTCAAGAGCCTCTGTGGGACCCCCCAGTACATCGGTACAGGGCTGGGGGTCCCTGCACTGCTCTGCTCTGGGGGGCCACAGCAAGGGGTGGGGATGGCACCCCCAGGCATGCAGAGAGGGAGGTGGCAGGAGGGTGCTGCCCCTCTAATGTCCCATCCTGGCTCTGTGTTTGCCCCCAGCTCCTGAAGTGATCAATTATGAGCCACTGAGCCCCGCGACCGACATGTGGTGAGGAGTCAAGATCTGGGGGCAGCAGGCTGAGCTGGTGGGTGGGGAGGGACACCCCTGGGTGCCACAGGGCACGGGGGGGCCCCAGGGAGGGCAGTGCCTGACCCCCATCTCCTCCCTTCAGGAGCATTGGAGTCATCACCTACATTCTGTGAGTATGGGGCAATGCTCCCTGTAGCTGGGGGAAACTGAGGCACAAGGACACTGTGGGTGGCCAAGCCAGTGTTTTCCTGGCATTCAGTAGCTCTGTTGTGTCCCCACAGGCTCAGTGGCCTGTCCCCCTTCCAGGGTGAGACGGATGCTGAGACCCTCTCCAATGTCGTGGCTGGTGCCTACGAGTTCGAGGAGCGCTGCTTCAGCCAGACCTCCGAGCTGGCCAAGGACTTCATCCGCCAGCTGCTGGTGAAGGAGCCACAGTGAGGCCCCATCCCCATCCCTTCCAATCTGTGCCCCACCTCCACCTCCGTTATCTCCACCTCCAACATCCCCATCCCCATCTCCATCCCTATCTCCATCCCCATCCCATCCTCATCTCCATCCCCATCCCATCCCCATCTCCATCCCATCCTTATCTCCCTCCCATCTCTATTTCCATACACAGGGGGGTTGGAGGTTCCTGTGTCCGTATCTCCATCCCCATCATCCTCACTTCCATCTGGTTCCCTTCTCTGTCCCCACCATCCCCATCTCCCCGTCCCCACGGTGGATGTGTGGGGCCGGGACCCCCAACCCCACCGTGTCCCTTTGTGCCGCAGGCACCGCATGACAGCAGCCGAGTGCCTGGTGCACCCCTGGATCAAGGTGAGAGGGGCTGGCAGGGGGTGGCTGCCAGACCCCCTGGGAGCAGGGTGGGGACACGGTGACAGTGCCATGTCCTTGTCCCTGCAGCCCCTGAGCAGGAAGCAAGCACTGAGCCGGAGCCGTTCCTCCATCAACATGAGAAACTTCCGCAAGTTCAACGCCCTGAGGAAGTGGAAGGTGATCGAGTGCCTGGCTGTGGGGTCCCATCACCCCTGAGTCCCCCGGGGAGCTCGAGCTGGGCTCCAGCCAAGGCTGGCTCCATCTCAGAGCTGGCTGTAGTGCCGTGGGAGGGACCCCCAGCTCAGACCCTCTCCCTTCTTGTCCCCCAGCTTTCCTACAACGCCGTGTCCGCCTGCAACCGGCTGTGCCGCACGCGGCTGCTCTGCCACCTCGGCAAGGAGGATGAGGAGCTGGTGAGCCCCCAGATCCCACCCAGCATGGGCTGGGAAGCGGGGAGAAGGGATTTGGGGGGCGCCTGTCTCAGTTTCTCCCCATGGCAGTACGCTCTATGCTGCACGCCCCCTCTATGCCCTGTTTTGGGCAGGAGGGGCAGAACGTGGGACCCCCCCCCCCCCCCATTGCTGGGATGAGATGAGGGAAGTTTGGTGGGGGTCTTGGCCAGAGATAGGGGCATCGAATAGGGTGGGGTGCTGTGCAGTGAGGGTTGTGTCCACGGCCCTTTCCTCTGCGGGGGAAGTTCTGTCCCTGCCCTGCAGCCCCCCTGTGCCCCCAGCGCTGCTGTGAGAGCGACCAGGAGGAGGAGAGGAGCCCCCACATCGCTCTGCTGCGCCGGCGGAGAAGCAGCTGCTCCTGATTTCCTCCAAAAAAAGACAGGACCCCTGCAAGGGGAGCCTTTGGGGTCCCCCCATCGCCCCATCCAAGGGGGCAGGGGCGCTGTCCAGCCCCAGAGCTCCCAGTCCATGGTGTTGGAGGGTCACTGGGGCATCAGCACCCCACTCCTGCCCCCAGGTTTTGCTGCAGTGGAGCTCGTGCTGCCCCAGGGCTGGGACCCTCCTCTCTGCTTTGTCCTAATGAGAAAAATAAATGTCACCTCCTCCTCTATCCTCTTCTCCTGCTACTCCTTCCCCTTAAGGACGGCTCGTCACAGCCAGGCAGGTGCTGAGTGCCCGCAGCTTCCTCCCTCGCTAGGGCTGCTGATCTGTGGGAACCCCAAATCTGGGGCTCCTGACACCCCAGATTTCACCCTGGGAGGCCGAGTGACTCTTTAGTTGTCCCTTCCGTGCTGCTCCAGGGGGTGTCCATGGGTTGCTGGCTGCTTTCCTGGCATCCCCCTGCCGGAGCAACTTGGATCGTCCTGCTCTGGCTGGGGAAACTGAGGCAGGAGGCAGCACTTCCTTCCCACCCACTCCGGCGCGGGGGGGCCGCCGTGTTTTCCCCCTCTCTATTTCCCAAACATGCCCTGGTCCTGGCCCTGACAGTTGTCAGGCTAAATATTTTGTGTGCGGCAGCCGAAAACAGAAGTGAAGGGGCCGCAGGGTCCGGGCAGGGTCCGTGGGGGCCCCCCCTTATCCCGGCGTTCCGTCCGGCCACGGCGAGCGGGACCCGACACGGAGCAGCAGAGCCCGAGGTGGGACAGGGACGGGGCCCTGGGGGTCCCTGTCGAGGATGGGGCCGAGGGCGCTGCGTGCCCCGCGGCTGGGGGTGATGCTGCTGGTCCTTGGCCACCTCCCGCTGCCCCCAGTGTGGGCTCCCTCCGAAAGTAAGTGCTTGGGAGCGGGGGGAGGGCAGTTGTGGGGTGGGGGCTGTCTGACGATGCCTGTGCTTGGGGGTCTGCAAGAGACAAACCCTGAGGGAAAGCTCTTTGGGTGTTCCCTGTGTCAGTTTGCCCCCATGGAAATACCCCCAATCCTTTCGGGCAGGAAGGGCACAGCGTGGGACCCCCTCATTGCTGGGCTGGGATGAGGGGAGTGTAGTGGGGGGCTTGGCCAGAGATGGGGGCGTCGGTCCCTCAGCCCCACCGGGATGGTGGGAAATTGTCACAGGAGTCGGGAGCGCTGCTCTCTGCGCAGCTGCTGGGGTGGGAAAGGTTGGGGAGGGGGTGCCATGGTGGGGAGGGGGCAGCTGTGGGTCCTGGGTCTCATGGCCACAACAGGGGACAGCTGGGGGTACGAGGAGGGTCTGTCGTTTGTCCTGCCTTCCCCTCTCCCTGCCCCAGTCACCGAGGGGTTGTGCTGGGGGATGGGAGCAATGGAGGAAGAGGATGAAGCATCCGAGAGCTGCCCAAGGGACACACGTCACTGTGCCTGCTCCCACCTGGGACCTCTGTGCTCTGTCTGTCCTCCCAGGGGCACGGGGGACCCTCGCCCCTTATAGAGAGACTCTGCAAGATCAGGGAGCTCATGGTGATGGTCAGGGAGGTGATGGTGGCAGTGGGGGCTGTAACACTCGGGGTGTGCACTCATGGCCGGTCCCGCAGGAGGACAGAGGGACCCTCCAGTCCTCACAGGGAGGGGACAGAGCTCTCAGTGAGTGGCTGAACCTGGTGCAGTGCTGGGGTGAGGGGCTACGGGCAGCTGCCAGAGCCGCAGTGCCCATGGGGCCGCAGTGCCCACGGTTCATGGGTCACACCAAGAGGGGAAAAATGCCACCGGGCATGAGGTCACAAGGACATGGCCATGAGCCACTGGTCCAGGCTGGCAGTGGACAGATGAGGGGTGACCCATGCACTCAATCCCCTCCAGGACCTGGACCTGGTTTCTCGCTGGGGATGCTGTCAGTGGGAAGCTCTTTGCTTATTCTAGCTCTTGCATCCCTGCTGGGATCAGGAAGCAGGAGGTGCTGGGGATCATGCTGCCAATTTCTGGGTGGAAAAGCCCCAAGACAGCCAATGTGGGGTTGGGGCAGTGCCACATGGACATCTGTGGTAGCCTTGCATGCCCCATTACCTGTCTGGGCACAAGGGGAATGACCTTGCTGGAGCTGTCACTCACTGGATAACTGCGTGTCCATGAGTGGGGAGATCCATGAGCCCCCACAGCTGCCCCACGACTCAGGGAAAGGGAAAAACCATCTCCACCCCAGACAGCTTCCCCTAGAGCGGACAGCAGGGCTGGGACGTGATTGTGGGGCTGACATGGGGCAGGGCAGGCGCCCGGCCTGCCAGGCCTCGTTAGCATCAGGGCTGACGGACGCGCCGTGCCCCGGAGAGCCGCAGCGTGCCGGCTGCTGTCAGAGCCGCTCGCGTCTCCCTGGCTGCCCAAACCAATTCCAGCCACGCTTGACAGGCAGCACCAGGATATTGAACCCCTGCGAGCATCACCTGGGGGATCCCTGGGTGGGGGTGGGGGTCAGCTGCCCCGTCCCTGCTGCCCACGGGGTCCCCCTCTCGCCACCCCAGTCTGCGGCAGCATGGACATCCGCAATGACGTCTCCCAGCTCCGGAAGCTGGAAAACTGCTCCATCATCGAAGGCAACCTGCAGATCCTGCTGATGTTCACCACGGGCGCCGAGGACTTTCGGGGGCTCAGCTTCCCTCGCCTGCTTATGATCACGGAGTACCTGCTCCTTTTCCGTGTCTACGGGCTGGAGAGCCTGCGGGATCTCTTCCCCAACCTCTCCGTCATCCGCGGCACCAACCTCTTCTTCAGCTACGCCTTGGTCATCTTCGAGATGCCGCACCTGCGGGACGTGGGGCTGCACAGCCTGGGCCACATCCTCCGCGGTTCGGTGCGCATCGAGCGCAACCAGGAGCTCTGCCACCTCTCCACCATCGACTGGGGGCTGCTGCTGCCCGACAGCGGCGACAGCACCTACATCGTTGGCAATAAGCTGGCTGAAGAGTGTGCCGACGTCTGCCCGGGCATCCTGGATGTGGAGAAGCCGTGTGTGCAGACCAGCGTCAATGGACAGCTGGATTATCGCTGCTGGACCTCCAGCTACTGCCAGAAAGGTGGGTGCCGGTGGCACAGGGCCCGGTCGTGCTGGCTGCTTTTCTGGGATGGTGCTGGTTTGCACCGTGGGGCAAACTGGGAGGGCACTGGAGGAGGCTGGTGGAGCCAGCTGGGAATGGTGGCCCCAGCGGGTGGCAGCGGCTCCCCTGCTGCTGGGAGTGTGCTGTTCTGGCAGCACGGTGGGGTAACCAGATCTGTGCTGTATCATTCTCCGAGGAGAGGCCAGCTCCCAGCTGCTGTGTTTTCCCAGTGGCGAGGTAAATACAGGCCCCTCCTGAGCTCGTTTGCTGTAAACAGGAGACCTGGTAATGAAATATGTACTATAAACACAGATCCTTATCAGGGCTGCAACCTCGCTGTGGCCCTGGCCTGGCTGCACTGGGCAGATGGGGTTCAGTATGGGCTGAACCCCACCTTGTCCATGCATCTGTCCTGCTGTCCCTCCATGCAGCCCCTCATCCACCAATCCAGCTGCTCACTCAGCCACCCATCAATCCACCTTCCTGGCCAGCCACTCATCACACAGCCATCCATGCGTTCCTCCATCCCTCTGTGCACCCCTCCATCAGTGCTGCCATGCCTCCATCCACTCCTCCATCAGTCCATCCCTACCTCCTTTTATCCCTCCCTGCAAACCTGTATCCTTCCCTTTCTCCTGCCATTCTTGTATCCCCACATCCCAGCATCCCTCCTTCTATCCCTGCATCATATTCCTCCCTCCATCTCACCATCCATCCCTCCCTCCATCCCTGCATTCCTCCATCACCGCATCCATCCCCATGTTCCTCCCTCCCTGCATCCCTTCGTTCATCCATCCTCCATCCCTGCATCACTCGAGCTGTCTCTCTATCCCACCCTTCACTCCTGTTTTCCCCCAGCCCTGGGGGATGTCAGCAGCCCCCCGAGCCCTTCCCTTCTCTCTCCTCTCTCTGTGTACACCTGACCCCAATCCCAGCTGTGCTGCCCGAGGCTGGGGTCTGTGCCCGTCGCTCCCTCCCACTTGCTGTGTCTCCCCTCTCAGTGTGCCCGTGCGGCGCGGGCTCGGCGTGCACGGCAGCGGGCGAGTGCTGCCACGCCGAGTGCCTGGGGGGCTGCGGCCGCCCCCACGACCGACGGGCCTGTGTCGCCTGCCGCCACTTCCACTTCAACGGGCACTGCCTGCCCTCGTGCCCGCCCCGCACCTACGAGTACGAGGGCTGGCGCTGTGTCACCGCCGAGTACTGCGCCAGCCTCCGCAAGGTCTCCGACAACCCCCGCGACGCCTCCAAGTTCGTCATCCACCAGCGGCAGTGCCTGTCCGAGTGTCCCTCGGGGTACACCCGGAGTGAGAGCAGGTGGGGGTGTCCCCAGAGCCCCGGCACACGCGCGGTGGTGGCACACTGGCCAGCTCACATCCTGTCCCCGTCTCCCTGCCCGCAGCATGTTCTGCCACAAATGTGAGGGGCTGTGTCCCAAGGAGTGCAAGGTGGGCACCAAGACCATTGATTCGATGCAGGCAGCACAGGAGCTGGGGGGCTGCACCCTCATCGAGGGGAACCTCATTCTCAACATCCGCCGGGGCTGTGAGTGCCAGACCTGGCCCCGCCAAACCCACCCCGGGTGGGAGAGCTGCTGTGGAGGGCAGGGGGTGGAGGAAGGGGGTCTTTTCCCTTGCAGAGTGAATTAATGGGGAGGTGCCCCTCTCCCTGACCTCATGCAGTGTGTCATTCCCAGATAACCTGGCCTCGGAGCTGCAGAGCAGCCTGGGGCTCATTGAGACCATCACAGGCTTCCTGAAGATCAAACACTCCTTCGCCCTCGTCTCCTTGTCGTTCTTCAAGAACCTCAAACTGATCCGTGGTGACTCCATGGTGGACGGGTGAGGATGGTGTGGGTTTGGGGGAGCATTTGGCTCTGAAAGTACCCATGCCCAGGAATTACACCCTATATGTCCTAGACAACCAGAACCTGCAGCAGCTCTGGGACTGGAGCCACCACATCCTCTCCATCCCCGTGGGCAAGATGTACTTTGCATTCAATCCCAAGCTGTGCCTGGCCGAGATCTATCGCATGGAGGAGGTGACAGGCACCAAGGGGCGGCAGAACAAGGCAGAGATCAACCCCCGCACCAACGGGGACCGG